TTGTATGCTTTGTTGTGGTCCCAAGCTCATGTGTTTGCTTATCTAGTTTCAGTTTCTGAGGAAACTTTTCATTGTAATGTTCTACCACAAAGGGTAGCTGACGTTGTAGCCTTTGAGGCAATTGATTCTTGATTTTAATGAATCATATCAGTGGTTTCTAAAAAAAATAATTACTCAGTGGGCACAGTTGTTGCCTTTTATGTACTGGGTTGTTCTGATTAAATCCTCCCAAACAATATAAGGAGATTCCCTACCGGAACCATCTTATTTCATTTTTCCTGTGGGCAAAATAAAAAGGCATCAGAATTCGGAACTATATTACTGGAAGGAACTATAATACTGGAAGGAGGATAAAACTTGAGCATAAATAATTATTACTGCTCTTCGACTGGTATTAGTTAATTAGTACTTAACACTTTTTGTGCCACTCCAATTTCAAGGTTCATCCATCACAGAGGTTTGGAAAAAATTGTCAAACAGTAATTAATTAATATTCAAGTAATTAATCGGAATATCGTATTATTCAAATCGAGTAATATGGATCGGATCGCTAAATGAGTAAAAGCCACTCAGCCCATATATCCTATGTTTGGTCCGGTTTTTAGAAGTACTTTTCGGATTTAAAAGGTGAAGCAGGGTCAAATACCTCTAAAAGTTCGGTTTTTGAAAAACATTTTTTGTATAACATAAAAGCAGAAACTCCGATTAGAGGTTTTGCGAAAAACTGTTTTGAAAACAAGATTATCTTACCATATTTTAATTATATTTCAAAAAATATCATTTATTTCACTTATATCATTTTAATAATAAAATAAATTATTTAATATAAAATAAATATAACAAGATCCATACTACTTTTTTATTGTTTAGAATTTTTATTCAAATTTTATATTATAAATTATTTATAATCATTTTAAATAACCTCTCATATTGAAAAGCACTTCTAATAGTTTTTCAGTCAAACACTTAATTGCTTTTTTTTTAAAAGTACTTCTCTAAAAGCTCAAACCAGAAATTGATTATGCAAAAGCTACAGAAGGGCAAAACTACATTTACGATCTACGTACACTAAATGGTGCGACCGTTTGAATAACATAGAGAAAAAATTTATATTTAAATATGTTTATTCAATCTCAACTAATAGATTTTCTTAGATAAATTGTTGTGAGTGAGCAATGCACGCTTTTTATACATATCTGATATATTTTTCAATCCTTGCTCTCTCACCGTTCCATTCTTATACATAAAGGATATGTCATTACTTAATGACTTAATCCAAAGCAGGCAAAATTTGAGGCCTACGGCTATAGGTGTCAATCGGGCGGGTTCGGGTTGGGTTCAATCGGGTTCGGGTTCGGGTTCAAACGGGTTGCGGGTTAGTCGAGTTTCGGGTTCATCGGGTTCGGGTTCAAACGGGTTGCGGGTTAGTCGGGTTGCGGGTTCATTGGCTTCGGGTTCAATCGGGTTGCGGGCAAATCGGGTTGCGGGTTCATCGGGTTTTGGGTCGGGCGGGTTACGTGCGGATCGTTTTTCGGGTTGTTCGGGCCAGCGCATCAAGTAACTTAACTCATTACTCATTACCAACTTACACATTTTATTACACTAATTTAAAATATTTTCTCAACTTTTTAACCAATTTATTTCTCCCTCGTATATATATACTTTTTTTTTTTGAAAAAACTAGTCAAAATGTTAAATCAATTTGTATGACTTGCAAACTTGTTATGTAATTAATCATAATTGGTAAAGTATTATAGCTAATAGTAATGGTGATATCAATATTTGCAACCAAAAGACACCATTAATTGTTTATTTGATATTTTAGTATTAATTCAATAGTAATTGGATTAAAGTATCTCGTTTAATATAACCATGCAAATCTGGTATTTGGCGTGTGGTCTTTGGCAAAAGCATAGTGATAAAAGGAGTTATTTCGAAATAACTCATTGCCCAAATAACTTCAGTAAACTGTTGCCAAACGAGTTATTTGTAAAATTGTTCGAATTATCCTAAAAATTGAACCATTAAAGATTAGCTATCAAATTTATAAAATTATTGTGACTTCAATCATAACTTACTCAATAGCATATATCCTATACACTTAGCCTTACCCTCAATTAACAATATTAAGTTAGTATATGTTGTTGATTGTATACCCTAAACCATCAATACATTATACACTAACCACATAACCCATACCCTATACCCTAACCATATGTCTTTGAGTTGTGATTTTGCTAGTATAATTAATTTAAAAGTGAAATTCATACTTTGATTTTCAAAACATAGATAAAAAGTGATATTTGCTAATTGTTATACTCTAACCATATATCCTATACTTTACACCACATACCATGTATCCTAACCATATACCATAAACATAAATTAAAAAGGGATTTCCTGCCGTTAAAGACTTCAAATGACTTCAAGTGAACATATGTTAATAAAAAACTTGGAACCGTCAAAACCATCAATATCTTATACCCTAACCATATACACCCTAAGTCATATGTACCATATACCCTATACCCTAACCATATACTTTATATCCTAAACAACGAACCGTCAAAGATTACTTATCAAGTTTAGTATAAATTGTTGTAACTAATGGTTAATTTATTTATTAGCCCATAAACAATTACATACATATATATATTAGCCTTCAAAGCATATAAGAATAATTTTAACTAGTCATGTCCTCCATATAAAAGTTAAAGATTCATATTTCAAAAGCTAAAATTATGAAAAACCAAAAAATTGAAAACACCAAATTTGTTTCCTTCTTTCTTTTCACAAAAGTACTAAAATATCCTTCCTTCTTTCTACTTCCATACATTAGAAAACTCAATTTTCCCTCCTCTTTCTCTTCCATAAAATTGAAAGAACCAAATTATCATCTTCTTTCCTTCTACAAAAAGTTGAAAACTCAAAAGTTTTCCTCCTTATTTCTCTTTCATAATCAAAAGAATCAAACTTTCCCACTTCTTTCTCTTCCCACATATCAAAACCACCAAAATTCCCACTTGTTTCTTTTCTAAAAAATTCAAAGAACCAAATTTCTCTCTTCTTTCTCTTCCCAAACTTTTGAATACACCAAAATTTCCCTCTTCATTTAAAAACATCACATTACCAAATACATTACTTTACTTTATTTATATTTAATTGATAATTTTATTGAATAGTTAAATTAACCAAAATTTTAATTTATATATTAAATTAATATTGTCATGATCTCAAGTGACCTTCATGTTTTAATTTTTGTAATTTTCTTAAAATACGTAATATCAAGTGAGTTTCATATTTTTTAAATTTCCTATACGAAACGAAAAAAATAATTTTACTTAAGTTTAGAATGAAAAACTTTATTTTGAAAAACTATGTATTGTATATTTTTATAATTATTCAAGTGGATTAGATGAAATTCGGGTTGAGTCGGTCGGGTTACGGGTTAGTCAGGTTCGGGTCAATCGTGTTCGGGTTAATCGGGTTGCGGGTCAGTCGGGTTGTGGGTCAATCGGGTTCGGGTTAATCGGGTTGCGGGTCAGTCGGGTTGCGGGTCGGGCGGGTTACGGGTTGTTGACTTTTAGTCAATTCGGGTTGCGGTCGGTTTGCGGGTCGGGTTGATCGGGCGGGTTAATCGGGTCGGGCTATGTTTTGACACCTATACCTACGGCAGAAGAATTAGTAAAATTTAAATGTTATGTGTTAGAGGTCAAAGATCTTCAATCAATCATGAATTCAAGAAAAACTTGATTAAACGAATTACATCCAAAATAACATTCATTGTACACACTGAGTTTGAAAATGCATGTGATCGGATAAGACTAAAAAGTTAGATTATTTTATCATTACTTGGTTACCCACGTCGAAAATATAATAAGATATCAAATTAACCAAGAAACAATGTGTACCAAGAAAAATACTAATATGCTTTTGTATTAATTTGAATAAAGGCATTAAATATTCTTTGTTTTTAGTGAATTTTCACTAATATTTTTATGAAACTGACGTGAATGTTCATTTCAATTGAACAAATCATCACGATAGTATTTATTATATTCGAAATAGAAAGTTAAGATAAATAATCAAAATTACTAGCAAGAAGTATATTGATAAATTAAAATATTCATATTCTTTATTTTTTTAGTATATCTCTAAGATGAAATAATATTTTAACTTTTTCAATATTAAACTGTATACAACAAGTAAAATGTTAAATATTCATTTCCATCCGGCCAACGGGCCGAACCTTAATCTAGTATAAGAAGAGAAAGTAGCATGCCGAAAGAAAATCAGAATGGTTCTCCTGTGTCCATTATTTTAGATTTGATTTTTAGTTTGATTCAGTTCGGTTCTTTGATTATGAATCGAATCGGATCATGCACAGCCTTGGAAGCATTTGTGGGTTGAAATGGATTAAAGATTGAGATTTGGGTGAGCAGAGTTCCTTCGAATGAGAAACAATGGTGATCTCTCACATGAGATGAGAGTCCGTACACAAATCATTTTGAACAAGCAACATTGGTTCTCAAAATGGATGGATATGCAATCTCTTCTTTCGGCAGAGATTTCAGACTCGTATCTCTGTTTTCTCCAATAATTAACTTCTGTAAATCACTCATCCAAACAATTACACCTTAGAATCCTTCCATTTTAAGAATCCTCATGAAACAGACCCCCAAGTTCTAGTTCAGACAGAACTTTGAATTTTATAGGAATAGGAGCATTCAACATCAAAAGATAAATCTTTTTCCAACATAATCTCATAGAAAAGAAACACAATAGAAAGAGATGCATTGAGTGCAGGCCCGTACAACTAATATCATTTACTAGAAAAGCTAGTAGTGTGTTGAGAATTGAGAGCATAAAATTCAGACCTCTGAAGGAACAACCCATTTGCCGTTTAAGCAGTCCTGATGTGTCCTCAAATCAGCCTGCTTGAACGTGATCTTCTCATCATACTCTTTAAAGTAAACCACGTAATTGCAGTTGATCAAAACCTTTGCAATCACGCCAACCCACCAGCCCTCGTTGTAGTAAGCATCTACTTCATCCATCACCTTGAATCCATCCACAACAATGATCTCCGGCGGACAAGGCCTTATGCTGCAAGCACGAATGTCTTCTCTGAGAAACTCAGTATCATCATCATTCGTCAGGGTTTTGTACTCAATAAGGTACTCGTCTTCACCCTAAGGTTCAATAATTGTTGCAGCAAACCAAGCACCTTTGAAACCGTCCTCGTCAGTTGTCACCTCGACTTGCATTCCTTGAGTGAACTTCATCACCTAGATCCAGATTCAGAATTCCCTAAAATTGTCATACCAAGCAACGGAGCAGGAAAAGTAATAAAATCGAATTAGCTCACCTCTTTCTCCCGCTGAACCTGTTTAAATCGCGGCTCCCACTTCCCTTTAACCCACTGAACAGGCAACCTCAAATCTTTCTCTTCAAACACAATCTGCTCCTTTGAGCCTCTGAGGAACACCGCGAATTTCCCGCCGGAGTGCTCCGCAGTAATAGCCCCTTCCCACCAGCCGTCGCTGTGGAAGGCCTCCACTTCGTCGCCGAACTTGAACCGGACCTTCTTCTTCTTCTTCTTCTCGGGAGGCGGCGGCGGCGGACGCAATTGGATCCAATCGAGGGTTTCTTGCAGCAGCTTCTCCCCAGATTCGTCCTCGTAGAGCTGGTCGTACTCGACTACGTAGCGATTAGGGTTCTTCGCCTCGCGGCGGATGACGGTGCCGGCGAACCAGGAGCCGCGGAACCCGGGGTCGTCGGAGCTGACCTCGACCCGGTCGCCCGGTTTGAATTGGGCGATCCACGAAGAAGATGGGTTCGACTTCGACATTTGCAGAATTGCAGGTGAAGACACGGATGGAAGCGAGGGGATTTTGAGAATTTTGGCGGATATGAGAATATGCTCTACATCAATTTGAACCACAAAGAGAAAGGGAATGGGTAAAACTCCTAAGAGCATTAATATATTGCGGTAGAAAAAATGAAAGATTTAACTCTTTAACAAAGAAATTGATCACCTCGAGCTGCAGAAAAAAACAACCAATCACGACCTCTTGGCGTCCGCATAGAACTGGAAAAGACTCTGTTCTACTAATCTACCCGATAAAGTACCTTGGTTCCCTCGCTACCTTATTGAGCCACCTCTAGTCTCCTCAAGTGGGATACCCCAGCAACTGAATCGTACATGAATCCTCCCACTTTTTTTTTTTTTTTACAATAAGGCAGCTTACATTGCACTTCAGAAATATTCGGTTACAAAGAGGGAACCCAACATAAATCCTCCCACTCACATGGCCTGAGATACACAAAGATCAAGGGTGAACCCAACATAAATCACAAGGGTTGCGTATGAGTACAGTTTATCCAACATTTTACCAAATTGTGTTGCAAAAAATAATTATTATATATGATTAATAAAATAATATATTAAAGAATTAAAAAGAGATGAATCCAAATTTCAATTAAACCGTGTAACAACATTAGGAAGGAGAAGATATGCCGTGATTTTAGTTGCACCAAATTTTATCTCTTATTTACTTAACAAATTAATAAGTTTCCTTCTCAAATTAAAACTCTAGCACATCCCTTTATATCTATCTATCTATATCTATATCTATCTATATCTATCTATCTATCTATACTATATATTATGACAATTCCAAAATAACTTCTTGCCACATAAGCACTTGGAGAATTCACAAGTTGCCATGGTGAAAAACTTTTTTTGCAAACAAAAAATTCATTATTGATCTATTTATGGAGCGCTATCTCTCTCTTCTTTTAATATTTCTACTCGTTTTTACTAAAACTTAATAATAAATTATTTTTTTATGAGAATGTAAACTAACACACAAAAGTATAATATTTAGTCAATTAAAAAAAATATAAAGCTGGAAATAGAGAGTGACTATATCCAATTTGTTTAAATAAAAAGTATATGATTAAATATTATCAAGTAAATTTTCTACTCATTTTCACCTAAACTTAATAATAAGTTACATTTTGAAAAAAAATTTAAAAAAGAGACATATATAATAATATCTATATCTATCTATCTATCTATCTATATCTATCTATCTATACTATATATTATGACAATTCAAAAGTAACTTCTTGCCACATAAGCACTAGGAGAATTCACAAGTTGCCATGGTGGAAGACTTTTTTTGCAAACAAAAAATTAATTATTGATCTATTTATGGAGCGCTATCTCTCTCTTCTTTTAATATTTCTACTCATTTTTACTAAAAATTAATAACAAATTACATTTTTATGAGAATGTAAACTAACACACAAAAGTATAATATTTAGTCAATTAAAAAAACTATAAAGATGGAAATAGAGAGTGACTATATCCAATTTGTTTAAATAAAAAGTATATGATTAAATATTATTAAGTAAATTTTCTACTCATTTTCACCAAAACTTAATAATAAGTTACATTTTGAAAAATATTTTAAAAAATAGACATATATAATAATATCTATCTATACTATATATTATGACAATTCAAAAGTAATTTCTTGCCCCATAAGCACTTGGAGAATTCACAAGTTGCCATGGTGGAAAACTTTTTTTGCAAACAAAAAATTAATTATTGTTCTATTTATGGAGCGCTATCTCTCTCTTCTTTTAATATTTCTACTCATTTTTACTAAAAATTAATAATAAATTACATTTTTATGAGAATGTAAACTAACACACAAAGGTATAATATTTAGTCAATTAAAAAAAATATAAAGATGGAAATAGAGAGTGACTATATCCAATTTGTTTAAATAAAAAGTATATGATTAAATATTATTAAGTAAATTTTCTACTCATTTTCACCAAAACTTAATAATAAGTTACATTTTGAAAAAAAAATTAAAAAATACATATATGTAATAATATTTGTATCAATTAAACAAAATATTACAATAGAAATATTGGAAAAATGATTAAAAAAGTACAGATATATAATAATATTTGTATCAATTAAACAAAATATTACAATAGAAACATTGGTAACAAATGATTAAAAAAATACACACATATATAATAATATTTTTATCAATTGACTTTGAAAATGAAATATATGAATTTAGATTTTTTGTATTAACAACTGTCTTATTTCTAATGTATTTTTTTCGTCGAATTATTTCTAATATATATTTCTACCAAATAAAATAAGTTTTATATAGCAAAAGGTCTGAATATAAATTTGACTAAGCAATAATAGTTATTTCTTTAAAAAACTTCTTATTCATCATGAGTAAGTGAAAATATATATTCGTGTTCTACCTTCAGATTCTCAAATTAAGAGGAATCATTTGTGCAATACTTTATAATTTGTCCTAGTGTTCATATTAAAATATTCACTATAGATCATATTATTTGAACAATCTCTACATTTTATAAAAAAATTCCAAGAAATCATAAATAATCATTACTTAATATTGTAGGAATCTAAAACTAATTTAGTGCCACATTCGTACATGACTAGCTCTCACCCTTCCACGCTGGACAAAGTCTAATTGGTTTGCTTTTTTGTTTACTCTTTAAATTGTCATCATTATCAACAAAAAGTAAATTAAGTTAATAAAAATGAATGCAACATTTTGGTTTGGTCCTATTCCTTTTCCCATACGACATTGAAAATAAACACAACCTTGATAATAAATAAACTAGATCAAGCCCTACAAAAACAAATAAATCTCTTTTCTTATTTGCTTAAATTTTGAGTTTCTAGAATTTGTCTTCTCTACTTTTTTGTATATAGATATAGGAAAGGAAATAGTAACGCATACTGAGTTCCCCCCCCCCCTCTTTGTAGGAGAATATGAGGCGGGAGTTACATGATGCAATGATTTGTTGGGAGAGAATTGAACAGCTCTAACATATTTTTGCCTATTGATGAAGAAAAGTCCAACCTATCATTTCTCCCTCTTCCCTTTTGATCCGCAGAGGGCAATTGATCTTTCTTCCTCAGAGATATCTGACTGCTAGCGGTTGACTGGCCGAGTTATAGTCTTCTACCCATTCTTTTCTTAATTTCTTCCAGATTACGACGATTGGATAGTAAATTTTCCTTTTTGATTCAATGATTGTATTTCTTCTTCGTTATTCAGATAGTTGTTTTATGGTTCTTTGTTATCCTGTATACTTTGATGTAAACATGTAACATATAATTCAAAGGGTTTGTTGCTTGGACTTGGAGCATCTCTCCTTTGGTTGAATAATTGATTGTTTTCCTTGGAGGCCTATTGCAACTCGATTCCTTGGATGTTAAAATGGAAAGCAGAGTTGTGATGGTTGTTCATTATGTTTATTATGTTCATGAGTGACATGCTACTAGCTAGCTATATGGCGATGATCTGATCAAGTAAAAATAGTATGTAGCAGGGGGTTATAAGTAGGAGGGAACATATTTGGGGTTTTATAAAGGGCGCGAAGAAGAAATAAAATGGTAGTAAATGCCGATGTTTTTCCCAATTTCTAGACGTTTGTAATGACATTGGTTTGTTTCCTTAGTGTGAATTTTGCCTAATTGAATCCCTAACTAAAGCTTGATTTTGACCTGATTGTTTTCATAACAACTACTATTTGGATTGATGCATCACTCCGATTCACAATGGGGACTCTGTTAGATATAATGACTTGAGTCCACTACATGCAAACCCACCATTCCTTGCACCCTTTTCTTACGATTTTCCAGCAAACCCAAATCAATAGGCAAAGAGTCCACTACATGCACTACCTTTCGGTCCATGAAAACCACAATAAGAAACCAATGGCGGTTCTCATCATTCATTGGCAAATATATCTGAAATAAATAAACAAGTAAATGATGACGAAAGAATGAATGGACTATACAGTAAAGGGCAAAACATTAAGAGAATATAGTACCCTGGAAAAATTACTAATATTATTACACCATAACTTGGTGCATTCAAAGGTGCCACAAAGATATAGGTTCTTATAATTTTCCACAGCTTTTTTTGGAGTCCAACCCATTTTCACAACCAAATCCTGGGTAGCAGTTCACATTCACTATTCAACTTTGGGAGAAAGAAAAAAGTAAACTTACTGTAAAGAGTTTTCCATAATTGTTGCTTACCTCAAAATTGGATGGAAGATACCAAGGTCCATTTTTCCCCCAAGCCCTAACATCAACAGCTAATTTACAAGCTACAACAGTCAAAATCTAAAATAAGCAAAACCAAAGATTAGTATAGCTAATATGTGGTCAAGTATGCCTTACCAAAAGAGAACTACAAAATACTTACATAACCATGAAGCCACGTTTCTGGCAGCAGGTCCTTCAGTTCTAGACGACTTAAACTATGGCCAAAATTCTCAACAAGCCATTTATCATCTTGTAGACCATCACCAAAGATGAAACACGCAATGGAACGATCCTCATCATTATCTAACGCCATTATTGCAGTCACCGGAAATTCCACCTACGATTTGAATTTACCAAAACTTACAATACATAGGTACATCATAAATATTTTAAAATCACAAAGGTGTAATTTCTTTAAATAAATTCTATATACCTTCCCCGATACATTTATATATTCCACAGCCGCATTTTTTGGCCTCTTGTGTGAATCATCGCCATCTGCGTCTGAGTTGGAATCTATATAAATAAATCCGTTTACGCTAGGTGTGAAAGGAACAATAGTGGGAGCTGAACTTCCAGATGCGGTCACCGAAAATTCCATCTACGATTTGAATTTAACAAAAATTACAATACATAGGTACATCATAAACACTTTAAAA